TGGATTTGTGTTTGAGGAAAACTTGGTCAGGGAAATCACATGATTATCGTGACGTCATCGTTTTCGAAAAGCTCCGTTTTCAAATTGTTTTCCGTCCACCTGAGTATTGTCAGGTTTGCGAGGTATATAGATCCTTTTTTTGTGTACTCATTATTTCTGATCCCGTGGATCGAGACCCTGGCAAACATGTTATCAGTGTTAGAGAAATGCCTACTGAAAGAAAACTAAACTGCATAATTTATAAAATGCTTTTTATTGGCAACAGAAAGCCGAAACCGCACAAACAATGTGACTCAATATTGGTACCAAACTATTTATTTCACATCAATATATAGGAAAGATCATATATTTGATCTGTGGAGAAAGATATGAAGACATAGATGATCATCTCAGTTATATACCCAACTTAAGCAGCTGTGAAATTAGAGCCTGAAAAAAATTTAGGATTGAACGGGATTCGAACCCATGACCTCGGCGATACCGGTGCAGTGCTCTACCAATTGAGTTATCAAGCCAACTGATAGCTAGATTACGAGTAGTCCCTCTTTCGCTTGGTCAGTCGTGCGTGACGCGAAAGAAAACCGCGAGAAAAAAATGGCCGCGCGAAATCCTGGGGGCGAGGACCGCCTAAGCCAGGGAGTTTAAAATTATGCGTTACTCTCACAACGAAAAAATATGATTGGTTTATGTTAGGAGCGTTGACAACTTGTTGTCAACATTCGAGATACGTGTGACGTTTTGTAGGAATGTTTATCTCGCTTTCCGACCGTAGAAAGCTTTGGAACCAGAGCAAATCGAGGCGTTGGAACCGCACTTCGCAAGCCGTGATGTTCTTGCGATTCTGTCAACAGGCTTTGGAGAAATTTTAATTTATCAAGTATTTTGTTTTTTGCCAAGCTTTCCCCCGCGAACCCGATTGCGAGCGTGTTAGTGATTTCGCCGCTCAACAGCATCAATGAGCTTAGCCTTGCTGCCGTCCATTTGAAAGATTGAACCGCACTTTCACTTGAAATTGAACATTCACCTGAAACTTTCCGCGACTGTCGGCAAACATTTCACCGCAGTTGGATGATCTCCTATGTGAAATACATAATGTAAATTCTCGGTTGAAACTCTGCGTTTGAAATTTTCGCAGTAACGTTTAGCTTTACACCTAGAGACGCAGCAAAAATCGTTTCAAGACGCCTCTTTCGCCGTCTTCCTTTTAAAACTTCTTTGGCAGTTTCGCTTAACGAACACTGGACGAAGATATACTTCTCACGGCATATTTTTGTCTCGCTACTTGAAGAGTAGAGTAGAGAAATTTCATTCAGGATATCTCCGGGGGTTATTGACAACAGGCGATAATAAGAGGACGTCAAGTTGAGAAATCCTACACCGAAAAATCGCTCGGCCGTGAAATGTCAAACTCCCTGGTTTAGTCGGTAGTCCCTCCTTTCGCGCGCTCCTCGTCCGCCAAGATTTCGTTCAGGCATTTTTTCGCGCGGTCATTTTTTTCGCAGTTTTCTTTCGCGCCACGCACGACGGACTAAGCGAAAGAGGGGCTACTCGTAGTCTNTTTACACCTAGAGACGCAGCAAAAATCGTTTCAAGACGCTTCCTTCGCCGTCTGTTTAAAACTTCTTTGGCAGTTTCGCTTAACGAACACTGGACGAAGATATACTTCTCACGGCGTATTTTTGCCTCGCTACTTGAAGAGTAGAGTAGAGCAATTTCATTCAGGATATCTCCGGGGGTTATTGACAACAGGCAATAATAAGAGGAAGTCAAGATGAGAAATCCTGCACCGAAAAATCGCTCGGCCGTGAAATGTCAAACTCCCTGGTTTAGGTGGTAGTCCCTCTTTTCGCTCGCTCCTCGCTCCCAAGATTTCGTTCAGGCATTTTTTCGCGCGGTCATTTTTTTCGCAGTTTTCTTTCGCGCCACGTACGACGGACTAAGCGAAAGAGGGACCACTCGTAGTCTGACTGAGAGCTGGCTACATTGTTAGTTCGTAATATACCCGTAGTTGGTGAAGAATGCCACAGCTGTAGCTGCGACACAGGGGACTCGAACACTATATCACCAGGAAAAATAAATGTGCTATTATTTACCTGTGTTCCTGTGTCTTTTTGAGTCTTTTAGAAGAGATTTGAATGAAGCGAAGGCGGTTTACATTTCTGAATATTATCTCGCCTGCCGCTTTGTAATTATGACGCTCCGGTTACATCTCAAGTTTATATACTTTTCTGCAGTTCAAATATATGATCTTTCATCTATTCATGCGCATTCTTCACCATCTACGGCTATATTACGAACTAACAATGTGACCAGCTCCCAGTTGGCTTGATAGCTCGAGTATCATTGATATCTCAAGGTATCACAGAGGTCATTGGTTCGAATCCCGTTCAGGCCTGATTNTGTCTTTTTGAGTCTTTTAGAAGAGATTTGAATGAAGCGAAGGCGGTTTACATTTCTGAATATTATCTCGACTGCCGCTTTGTAATTATGACGCTCTGGTTACATCTCAAGTTTATATACTTTCCACAGTTCAAATATATGATCTTTCATCTATTAATGCGCATTCTTGATCATCTACGGGTATATTACGAACTAACCATGTGACCAGCTCCCAGTTGGCTTGATAGGTGAAGGTATAACAGAGGTCATTGGTTCGAATCCCGTTCAGGCCTGATATTTTTTCGGGCTTTAAAATCAATTTCACAGCTTCTTAATTTGTCTATATAACTGCGATGATCATCTATGTCTTTATAATTATCTTTCTCCGCAGTTCAAATATATGATCTTTTAGGCCTGCATTTGTTTTTTGTTTTTTTCTCAGGCTCTAATTTGACAGCTGCTTAAGTTGTGTATATAACTGCGATGCTCATCTATATCTTCAAAGTATTTATTGAACATTATCAAAGTAGAGTACAACTGTTAGACTTCTTTTGATG